AAGGTGGTGTTATTTTATCCATTTTTTTTTAAATGTTTTTTTATTTATTTTTGAAGGAGAGACAGAGCATGAGCGGGGCAGGAGCAGAGAGAGAGGGAGACATAGAATCTGAAGCAGGCTCCAGGCTCTGAGCTGTCAGCACAGAGCCCGACGCGGGGCTCAAACTCACGAACTGTGAGATCATGACCTGAGCTGAAGTCGGACGCTTAACTGACTGAGCCCCCAGGCACCCCTTATCCATTTTATAGAGAGGAAACAGACATAGAGAAATCACATAATTTATCCCACTCATACAGCTGGCAAAGGGTGGTGCTTCAATTCAAACAGAAAGGCGATTTTTTATTATGATGATGATGATAACAGTGACTGTTAAAACAAAAGTACAAGGTCATCAAAGCCCCTCCCAAAAGTTCCATAAAAACAGCCAAGTTCCAGGATGTGGGCAAAGGTTGGCAGGCATTTCCAGGTACCATAGAGCCCAGGGGAGCCACGAGGTAGTAACACAGCTATTCCTGTAGTGCACAAGCAGCCAGCTTCAAATTTGCACTGTTCTTGCTCATTTTTAGAGAAATTTGCAAAAAGTAAGACATTATATTGTCTCTTTCGGAATCAAATACTCATGATAAAATGCTGTGCAAGTATACAGGTTCCCAGGCCCACCTTAGACCTAAATTTGAGTTTCCAGGCAGGCCTGCATTGGGACTTGCTTGTGCCCTAGGCAAAGGTCTTGTGGACATATATTAATTTATATTTTATAGCTGTGTTGGTGTAAAGGCAAATCTTTCCCACACGTTTTAAAATAGATTAAAACATTTTAACATTCTCTTAGGCCTCTCCAAGTGTGGTGGGTCCCAGGCACTGTGCCTGCGTCCCTCCCCTCCATGGACAAAGTCATCCCGCCTTCAGGGAAGGGGCCTGGGAATCTCTGTCGGGCAGAAGCCGGAGTTTCTCCGTCAAGTTTAGGAAACACTCGGAAGAGTCGGTGAAGCACTGTTGCCTGGCCTGTAGGGAGACTCGAATATTAGTAATTAGTGGAATCAGCATGGCGTGGTGGTCGCGGGCCAACCTCCATTGGGGTCTGCGACCTCGGGCCTCCGGGAGCCGCTGTTTCCCCACCTGTCAAATGGAAGTAATCCCTCCTTTGAACCGCTCGCTGCCTTAGGCCCAGGGTGGGAACGCGGCCTCGCTCGCTCACTCGCTCCCGGAGGAGGCAGCGCTGACCCGGCCCTACCCCGCAGATGCCGGTGCTGAAGCAGCTGGGCCCCGCGCAGCCCAAGAAGCGGCCGGAGCGCGGCGCCCTCTCCATCTCCGCGCCGCTCGGCGACTTCCGGCACACGCTGCACGTGGGGCGCGGTGGCGACGCCTTCGGGGACACTTC